TTTGATTCTCCATTATTAGGGTATAGCCCCTCTTAAGGAGTTTAGACCCTGAACCCTAAATCCTAAACCCTAAACCCTAAACCCTTAAGGAGTTTAGACTATAGCTCATATAGTGATTAATGTTCATGTCGGGTTCTTGCTTCCATGCCCGACTCACAACACTAAATCTTTCACCCCTTCCTTCATTCCCTAAGCCCTATGAGCCATTGTCTAAACTCTTAGTATCCCCCTTAATAACCTCTATAGTATTACCCTAGATAAGCCCCTATATAACCCCCTTTAAGGAATTTAGACTATAGTTCATATAACCCTAGACCCTAAACACTAAACCATACTAACCACCGATAAGGTTGGAAGGGCACTATCAAGCCAAGGGACCTGAATCGTCTCTCCGTCGCGGATGTCGTATGAGTCCAGAGTTCCTGCTTAAAGGCTCACGCAGTTTAGGGTTTTAGGGTGGGTAGGGCACTCCAACGAGGATATAGGGCTTAAGCTTGGAGATGCGTGGAAAATGATATGTATCGTTTGCCTGCATAAGGGTAGTTCTGATTTCAAATTCATTGAGGCCACTTGTAACCTTGCGGTATGTATAACAACCCATGAACCTTTACATGATATTGCTCTAAAAACAGGGGCGCGGTTTTGGCTTTGGCGTCGCATATTATTTGTTTACTGCGAGAGGGTTCCAAACGTATCATTCCGACAGTTAGGAAGCAGGCAACCTTGCTTTGAAGGTTTAGGGTTTAGGGTGCTTCACAGACCGAATGCCACAATTGGAGGGCCTTTGGTTCGTTCAGCTATCATATCTCATCTACGAGTTTTCTAAAAAAAGAACAGGGCTTATGCGGAAAAACAACTGTAAGAGGTCCTGACTATGGATTCTGTATGGATAAATTTGAGAGACCTCATTAAGCCCCCAACCGTAAAAGTCACCCCTCTGGGATGTTTGAGCTTCGCTCGTTTTCTATGGATCAGCGCACGGGCCGCAAGGGAGGGTGGTGAGAATGGTCCAGAGTTCAGGAGTTTACAGGGCCTGAGAGGAACTGTGGGAGACTTACAGGGTATTCTGATTCCAGAAGCAGTATAGAGAGATCCTTATAAGGATCCCTGTTCCCACTCAGCAATCAGCACCAGTAAGGTGAGGTGGAGAAGGGGCATCCACATGTTTCACACTACAGTCCCCCTGAAGTAGATGGAATTTGGCTTTGGGTATAGTATAATAAGATCCCCACATACCCCATATTCTATCTACTTCAAGGGTTAAACCCTAAACCCCAAACAATTTCCCAATAAGGTTTACGGCTTAAGGATGGTCCTTATCATGGAAACCCCCGAGACAGGGGCCCAGTGATTGTGCAAACCCTGTTCCCTTCGTACCCTGCAAGTGGGTGGCTTCACACGGCAGACGCCCCCGAAACCCTGGCTATAAACACCCTGAGCCTCAACCCTACACCCTGATCCCGAGACCCTGAACCCTAAACCCTATACTCTTTTCGGGTTTAAGGCAAACTTGGGTTTGGCTAATTATAGTGCTGAAGGGAATCTACCAAAAAAAATTGTGTACTTTTTGTGGTCTATATAATTAGGATGAATCGTACATGAGGGTCCATATTGGGGTTCCCGCATTTTCTGGAAACTAGCAAGTACACCTGACCCTCCAAGTCCACATTCTCTCCTGGTCACTATTATTGTTGGGGGATCCCAGGTGTTGCAAAATTGCTTCCATCAACCGTGCGGTAGCGTGGAAATCTGAACAAGTCACAAGCGTATCCCCAAAATACCCTCATAGAATTCCAGCAACAAGTAGAAACAATGCTGCAATCACTCAGGCGCCTATACACACGAGTTTCTCAAAACAATCCTTACGTAATCCCCCATGAATAAGGACCCCGGTAGTCCCCTTGCAATCCCTATATGACCCTGTAAGCCCCACGTTTTTTAGAGACTCCACAGCATGAGACTTCAGGAGGCTCGTGCCATCGGGCGTCGGTTGTCGCGTATCTTGCGCCCTTCGTGGACGAACTCGACGCGCCAGAATGCCAGGTCCTTTCGAGGAAGTACCCCAAAGGATGCCACTACCCCAGACCAACCTAGAGTCCAGTATCAAGGACTGTAGCCTTTTTGGGGCCCCCTTTTGGTGGGGTTTCTTTTGGGGGGAGGTTTGAGTTTACCCCGAAGTTTTAAGTACTATAGGGTGAAAAGGTTGGGGTTAAACATCTCCCCCGCTACTCTCCCGAAGGATGTGAGCTGCTGCTACTAAAGCCTTGATCCACTCGGAACCCAACGGCTTAAACCCCAAAAAGCCGAAACCCTAAACCCTCAACCTTCACCGTGTCTTTGCTTTCTTTGACTCCAATAGCCATGGTTGGATTTTCTACATGGGGGGGGGGGCGGTTCCCATCAGTTCCCCCTTGCGCTTCGTACCTCAAGTCCTAAAGGCCCTAAAACCCACACAGAAGCCTAAAGCCTGAATCCACACTAGACGTTGCACCCAATCCTATGAGCGCTATGCTTTGAGGCGTTGCATGTGACAGCCGCTTCCTGACTGTAAATTCATTTCAAAGGACTGAGCCGTGCATGCATGCAAGTTCGATGAAGTCCTGTTCATGGGTTCTCGTACTAAGCCCCCTATACCGCCTATACTACCCCCACAAGTTTCCTGACTCTAGTCAAGGCGGAATTTTGGGGGGTTAGTGAGGGGCGGGTCTGGGTGGTAGAGAAATTTACGACCTCTACATTCTTCATACAAATCCTACAAATTCGAGATGGTTTTAGCTGTGATGTCTGCACCACGCCCAAAACTGCATATTGGCCAAAAAGGGGCTTAGGGGTCAGGATTTACGGTTCAGGGTTTAGGGTTAGTAGCTTAAGCCTGAATAAGTACCAACATGTACCAACAATGGATACTCAAATGGAAAATCATATGGTAGCTTTAAAATGGAAAAGCGGGATTGTATAGGAGTTTAAGATGTTTCGCGCAGAGGCCTGATTCAATGATTAGCCGTCTACGGTGGGGGGGTTGCTGTCATTACCCCCTGAACTTACGCACCCTAAACCCTAAACCTCCGCAGAGGATGGGGGGAACATGGCTGAGCTGCCCCGCAATGTTTTCGTAACCGAGGAGTTCCTGGACTTGGATGGCGGTTCAGACGCAACCACCTCATACAGCTGACCTTGGGCTTGAGCCGCGACTCTGGCTTTGTTGTGCCTCGATGAAACGAATCCGGCCGTTATGAAGGGTCTGGGGACCATGATCTCACCGGGACTCGGCCAAGTGGCTCATAGATCGGGATCGATTCCGTGTGCCTGAATCCCGACTCCATCATCACGACCTGGCAGTTTCTTGGAAAGTGAGTGAGGCAAGAGCGACTTTCTTTCGTGTGTGAGCACGGCCACCTAGGTACCGAGCTAAATGCCCAGCATGGCCTGCGCATACCGTCTTAGTGGTTTTGTTTGGATAGTTTTCTCCGTTTTGCTTGTGCCCAATCTATGTACACGCTGTCACTGCATGGATCGTGTGGCACATGTTTGAGGGTCCCGGCAGCTGTGGTTTTCTCTTTGGGGACCCGCTTTGGAGGAGCCCTGCCGCCTCAAGTATGCTGCCGTGACGGTCTAAGATAATCTGTCATTTGCAGGTGCTGCATTATTCAGCTGTAGACTGTCATCCGCACGATGTCCATCCAGAATACCGGTTGAATTTTGGATATTTCGAGGGGTGAGACGATTTTCCCTTCTTCGGAGGGTTTTCATTGCTCTGCAATGCCCTCTGTGTACAGAGCACCTCAGGGATTGCTCCAGCTGGATCGTCCCATGTTCTTACCAGATTTCTGTTCGGCACCTTTGTGCTCAGTGCATGCTGGTTTGCCAAGTTTGGCATGTTGAACTCAGGGCGCGTCCAGTGGACCCTAGCATGACGCAACAACAACAAACCGTAAACCCCAATAAACCCTAAAGCCTATAAACCCTGAAGCCTAAAGCCTAAACCCTGAACCCTAACTCCTATAAACCCTAAACCCTAGACCGCGTTCTCGGACCCGGGTCTGCGTTTTGGGTCATGCGGCATGCTTAATTGGAGTTCCTGAATGTACTCCCCACAAAATACCGAAAGGCTACCGTACGATCTCCTACTGTTGATGGAGGAGATAATGCACCACTTATGGAGCCCCTAAAACTGTAATACCTGGGACTTGAGACTTTAAGTGGTGCAGGATTTCATCCGTAGGGGTCAGCATCTCCGTGTCGCTTGGGACATTGAGCATACCTGCTTTTGAGAAGAGTGTAGACCCATGGTTAATAAAGGGCGTTCATATTAGGATCCCCATCATAATCCCTGTTAAGGGGAGGCGGTGCATTAATCAGGGGTCTACATTATCCCTATGCGAGGAGTATCGTGACCGGTCCTCGTTTGTGAGCTTGGAGAGTGTTTCTGCGACATTCTCCTGGCCAAACTGCAGGGGACAGTAGCCCTTCAATATTGAGTAGTTGCTGCTCTAGGTAGGTCCATTGCGAACACCCCAAATCCCACGCACAGGGTTATCTAGAACAAGGCTTGCTGTTACGGGGAGGGCCGGAAAGCTTGGAGCAGGAGGCAGGAGCAGGCTCTGCGCCCTAAACCCTAAGCCCTAAACCCTAAGCCCGAAACATGTATTTTTCAGCTGTCAGCAATCAGCATCCGCAGCACACCGAACCGGACCGTAACGATGGTTGTTGGAGTTAGGCGCAGGGTGGAGCAACCCGTGAGCATGAAACTGAATGCGCTAGCTGCTGCAAGCCAACCCGAGCCACTAGGGTAGTGCATATGTAATGTGCAATTTCATATAGTGGTTTCCATGTTGTCTTCCAATAGTCCATTCCCCCTGAACGCTGAAGACGAACCGTAATTCTTTCCATTTTTTAGCCCTTTATCTTGGACATAAATACTAATCGCAGTCTCCATTTTTCCTTCCCCGCACAATCAAGCAGCGTAGTAGTTTTATTTGCCTATTCCTTCACGTAAAATTTCATTATAGGATCCTAAGGAGGAGGTGGTTCAAGGGGGGAGGGTACTAGGGAGCCTTGGGGAACCTTAAGGGAAGCTTAGGAGGTATAAGGGAATAATGGGGCAGTGCGCGTGCAAACCGGGACCAATAACTGATTGCAAGTGTGTTGGCACACTTGGCACACTTGCTCGGGTGTCGAGGTAATTAAGCGATTGTCGCCACTTGCCCCACTTGCAACACACT